TCACTCCATGTTATTATATAGCTCCGCAGGTAATTATACTGTATCACTCCATGTTATTATATAGCTCCGCAGGTAATTACACTATCACTCCACGTTATTATATAGCTCCGCAGGTAATTTCACTGTATTGCCCCATGTTACTATATAGCTCCGCAGGTAATTACACTATCACTCCATGTTATTACATAGCTATGCAGGTAATTACACTATATTACTCTATGTTATTATATAGCTCCGCAGGTAATTACACTGTATTGCCCCCATGTTATTATATAGCTCCGCAGGTAATTACACTGTATTGCCCCCATGTTATTGTATAGCTCTGCAGGTAATTACACTATATTACTCTATGTTATTATATAGCTCCGCAGGTAATTACACTATATTACTCCATGTTATTATATAGCTCCGCAGGTAATTACACTGTATTGCCCCCATGTTATTGTATAGCTCTGCAGGTAATTACACCGTATTGCTCCATGTTATTATATAGCTCTGCGGGTAATTACACTGTATTGCTCCATATTATTATATAGCTCTGCAGGTAATTACACTGTATTGCTCCATGTTATTATATAGCTCTGCAGGTAATTACACTGTATTGCTCCATGTTATTATATAGCTCTGCGGGTAATTACACTGTATTGCTCCATATTAATATATAGCTCTGCAGGTAATTACACTGTATTGCCCCATGTTATTATATAGCTCTGCAGGTCATTAAACTGTATTGCCCCATGTTATTATATAGCTCTGCAGGTCATTAAACTGTATTGCTCCATGTTATTATATAGCTCTGCAGGTAATTACACTGTATTGCCCCATGTTATTATATAGCTCTGCAGGTAATTACACTGTATCATTCCATGTTATTATATAGCTCTGCAGGTAATTACACTGTATTGCCCCATGTTATTATATAGCTCTACAGGTAATTACACTGTATCACTCCATGTTATTATATAGCTGCGCAGGTAATTACACTGTATCATTCCATGTTATTATATAGCTGTGCAGGTAATTACACTATATTACTCCAGTTATTATATAGCTCCGCAGGTAATTATACTGTATCACTCCATGTTATTATATAGCTTTGCAGGTAATTACACTGTATCATTCCACGTTATCATATAGCTTTGCAGGTAATTACACTATATTACTCCATGTTATTATATAGCTCCGCAGGTAATTATACTGTATCACTCCATGTTATTATATAGCTCCGCAGGTAATTACACTATCACTCCACGTTATTATATAGCTCCGCAGGTAATTTCACTGTATCATTCCACGTTATCATATAGCTTTGCAGGTAATTACACTATATTACTCCATGTTATTATATAGCTCCGCAGGTAATTATACTGTATCACTCCATGTTATTATATAGCTCCGCAGGTAATTACACTATCACTCCACGTTATTATATAGCTCCGCAGGTAATTTCACTGTATTGCCCCATGTTACTATATAGCTCCGCAGGTAATTACACTATCACTCCATGTTATTACATAGCTATGCAGGTAATTACACTATATTACTCTATGTTATTATATAGCTCCGCAGGTAATTACACTGTATTGCCCCCATGTTATTATATAGCTCCGCAGGTAATTACACTGTATTGCCCCCATGTTATTGTATAGCTCTGCAGGTAATTACACTATATTACTCTATGTTATTATATAGCTCCGCAGGTAATTACACTATATTACTCCATGTTATTATATAGCTCCGCAGGTAATTACACTGTATTGCCCCCATGTTATTGTATAGCTCTGCAGGTAATTACACCGTATTGCTCCATGTTATTATATAGCTCTGCGGGTAATTACACTGTATTGCTCCATATTATTATATAGCTCTGCAGGTAATTACACTGTATTGCTCCATGTTATTATATAGCTCTGCAGGTAATTACACTGTATTGCTCCATGTTATTATATAGCTCTGCAGGTAATTACACTGTATTGCCCCATGTTATTATATAGCTCTGCAGGTCATTAAACTGTATTGCCCCATGTTATTATATAGCTCTGCAGGTCATTAAACTGTATTGCTCCATGTTATTATATAGCTCTGCAGGTAATTACACTGTATTGCCCCATGTTATTATATAGCTCTGCAGGTAATTACACTGTATCATTCCATGTTATTATATAGCTCTGCAGGTAATTACACTGTATTGCCCCATGTTATTATATAGCTCTGCAGGTAATTACACTGTATTGCCCCATGTTATTATATAGCTCTACAGGTAATTACACTGTATCACTCCATGTTATTATATAGCTGCGCAGGTAATTACACTGTATCATTCCATGTTATTATATAGCTGTGTAGGTAATTACACTATATTACTCCATGTTATTATATAGCTCCGCCGGTAATTACACTATATTACTCCATGTTATTATATAGCTCCGCAGGTAATTATACTGTATCACTCCATGTTATTATATAGCTCTGCAGGTAATTACACTATCACTCCATGTTATTATATAGCTCTGCAGGTAATTACACTATCACTCCATGTTATTATATAGCTCCGCAGGTAATTACACTATCACTCCATGTTATTACATAGCTATGCAGGTAATTACACTATATTACTCTATGTTATTATATAGCTCCGCAGGTAATTACACTGTATTGCCCCCATGTTATTATATAGCTCCGCAGGTAATTACACTGTATTGCCCCCATGTTATTGTATAGCTCTGCAGGTAATTACACTGTATTGCTCCATATTATTATATAGCTCTGCAGGTAATTACACTATATTACTCCATGTTATTATATAGCTCCGCAGGTAATTACACTGTATTGCCCCCATGTTATTGTATAGCTCTGCAGGTAATTACACCGTATTGCTCCATGTTATTATATAGCTCTGCGGGTAATTACACTGTATTGCTCCATATTATTATATAGCTCTGCAGGTAATTACACTGTATTGCTCCATGTTATTATATAGCTCTGCAGGTAATTACACTGTATTGCTCCATGTTATTATATAGCTCTGCAGGTAATTACACTGTATTGCCCCATGTTATTATATAGCTCTGCAGGTCATTAAACTGTATTGCCCCATGTTATTATATAGCTCTACAGGTAATTACACTATATTACTCCATGTTATTATATAGCTGTGTAGGTAATTACACTATATTACTCCATGTTATTATATAGCTCCGCCGGTAATTACACTATATTACTCCATGTTATTATATAGCTCCGCAGGTAATTACACTGTATCATTCCACGTTATCATATAGCTTTGCAGGTAATTACACTATATTACTCCATGTTATTATATAGCTCCGCAGGTAATTATACTGTATCACTCCATGTTATTATATAGCTCTGCAGGTAATTACACTATCACTCCATGTTATTATATAGCTCTGCAGGTAATTACACTATCACTCCATGTTATTATATAGCTCCGCAGGTAATTACACTATCACTCCATGTTATTATATAGCTATGCAGGTAATTACACTATATTACTCTATGTTATTATATAGCTCCGCAGGTAATTACACTGTATTGCCCCCATGTTATTATATAGCTCCGCAGGTAATTACACTGTATTGCCCCCATGTTATTGTATAGCTCTGCAGGTAATTACACTGTATTGCTCCATGTTATTATATAGCTCTGCAGGTAATTACACTATATTACTCCATGTTATTATATAGCTCCGCAGGTAATTACACTGTATTGCCCCCATGTTATTGTATAGCTCTGCGGGTAATTACACTGTATTGCTCCATATTATTATATAGCTCTGCAGGTAATTACACTGTATTGCTCCATGTTATTATATAGCTCTGCAGGTAATTACACTGTATTGCTCCATGTTATTATATAGGTAATTACACTGTATTGCTCCATATTATTATATAGCTCTGCAGGTAATTACACTGTATTGCCCCATGTTATTATATAGCTCTGCAGGTCATTAAACTGTATTGCCCCATGTTATTATATAGCTCTGCAGGTAATTAAACTGTATTGCTCCATGTTATTATATAGCTGTGCAGGTAATTACACTGTATTGCTCCATGTTATTATATAGCTCCGCAGGTAATTACACTGTATTGCTCCATGTTATTATATAGCTCTGCAGGTAATTACACTGTATTGCCCCATGTTATTATATAGCTCTACAGGTAATTACACTGTATCACTCCATGTTATTATATAGCTGTGCAGGTAATTACACTGTATTGCTCCATGTTATTATATAGCTCCGCAGGTAATTACACTGTATTGCTCCATGTTATTATATAGCTCTGCAGGTAATTACACTGTATTGCCCCATGTTATTATATAGCTCTACAGGTAATTACACTGTATCACTCCATGTTATTATATAGCTGTGCAGGTAATTACACTGTATTGCTCCATGTTATTATATAACTCTGCACGTAATTACACTGTATTGATCGATGTTATTATATAGCTAAATAGCTCTGCAGGTAATTACACTGTGTTGCTCTAAATGTTATTATAAAACTCTGCAGGAAGTTACACTGTATGACTCCATGTTAATATATAGATTTGCATGCAACTGTACTATACTTTAAATAATATTACAGTGCATCACTCTATAATCAGTATATTATATATATACATACATATATTGCACTCATTTTAACTATTGTGTGTTGCCCTTCATATAATTACAACATATTAATCTGCATGTAACTACACTATATACTGTACAGTACTGCTCTGCGTACAATAGAATATTGCTCTGCATGAAATCACAGTATATTGCACTGCATGTACATACATTATATATTGGACTGTGTGTAATTCCAGTGTATTGTGCTGCATGTAATCAAAGAACATTGCTCTGTATGTAATAACAGTATGAAGCTCTATGTGTAATCACAGAATGCTGCTCTGCATGTAATTACAGTATATTGTTCGGTGAGAAATTACAATATATTTCTCAGGAGGTAATTAGAGAACATTGCTCTGCACGTTAAGCTGCTGTTTGTATAATTACAATATATTGCTCTGCATGTTATTATGCTGCTTTGCTGGTAATTGTGATATATTGCTCTACATATGGCCCTGACGGAGGTGAATTATAGAACTGTACAAGTCAGACCTTTGTAATTAGGTTTTTTTTACACTTTATTTTTCACCATTCGTAATGATGTCAGATAAAAATGGACAGTTTACAGGATGTGTAAGAGTTCAGATTCCATGGTGGTGGGCCGCTTGCTTAGCGTGTGCCAGCTTCTCTCACCCTCCATTTGGTTTATGGCTCGTGCCAAGAGAATAGCTATGTAACATCGCCTTTGTTTACTCTATTTGACTAAATACACGGTGGTTGGACTAGCCACTGCTATGAGTGAAAGAATGTGTGTAAATGGAATGTGTCTAAAGCTGCTTATTGTAAGAACTTAATGAAGAATTTTGTAAGTATACAAAATGTGCTTTGCTTGAGTGTGAACGCATGTCATGTTGCATGTATGTGTGTTTACCAAGGAATATTATGTTTGATTTGTGTAATTATGGTCTTAGGGCTATGTCTGTGTGATTTATAGGCTATTGTGCAATGGTGTGGGTTGTGTTACTAGGAAGTGTTTGTGCTTAATAACTGAGCTATGATGTAGCGAGAGTTAGCAGAGCATTCCGCGTGTGAGTGTAGATTCAGGGTCCAATAGATTCTGCCGAATATCTCCGTACCCCTTTCACTAGGGATAGAAATGCAGCAGTAGTTGTTTTTTATTGATTTTTCCCGTCTGGTTTCTGGGAATCTCTTCCACCTGGATAAGCTCGGCAGGAATGCAGTACGGGGCCATGACTGCCCTAAATAAGAGACGGGAGTTGGTCTCAGTCAATTGCTCAGCAGAGTACAGATCTTGCATTTGCTATATTAGATACTGAATGGGAGCACAGTCCCAATCCACTTGGCACAGCAGGCTGCATTAGATGGTAATTGAAAATACAGATTTACTATAGTTACAATCAATACACAAAAAAGCTGAACTATATGGTCTTTGGTGATTGGCTGAGCATCATAGGAAACACATTCCATAAACAAAGCTGCAGCAATTCCTTAACTGCTTTGGAATATGGGAGGCAAGAAAGCTGATCCGGTAATTGTTGCTGATCTATGGTTCTCATAATGCTTAGCCAAGAAGTGGCCCACGTTGCCTTAGAGTGATGAGCACTGTTCCTACTAAATTTTCAATCAAATGTATAAGTCCTTCTCACCTGGCCCACTCCTTCAGTTGCTGCAATGTCAGGGCATGCCCATCCTGGAGCTTAACAATGGCTGTCACATGCTGTCCCCATATCACATCAGGTGCGCCGATAACAGCCACATCTAGACATTGAGAAAGGGAAGAGGTCAGGGCAGGTATCGTGCCTAGATTTGGTTATCTGTGCTACTCTTGAGCAGGGAGATCATACTACCTATGATACTGGGATGAGCCAGGAGATGGCGTTCCACTTCCAATGCACTGATCTTGTACCCTCCACTCTTAATGATGTCCACCGACGTCCGGCCCAGGATCCAGTAGGTGCCATCTCTGTATACAGCTGTATCTCCTGGAAATATAAAATATAAAAATTATATATTTACGGACATCTTTCAGAAAAGCAAGTGGACAGATTAGGGTTTGATCCAGGCTTATGTCGGCCTACAAACCCACTATCATTCAATACAAACACAATGCAGAACTAAGCAGGTATCACTTGGTCATTGGGTGCTTAGCCAATTACTGCTGCTTGCCAGGTGACTGGATAAATACAGCCGAATGTCAGATGCATGGCTGTCTACCACTGTGCAACTAGGGCAATAACACTTAGCATTGCCTGTCAGGTGCACAAAAACTAGAACTGACTTGTTTGCCATCCATGGAGCTCCTATAAATCTGTACATTTACAAGGGTCAAACTACAAGTAAGGCTAAAAGATGCACAGTGAGTACAGTATGACCACACCTGGTACAAAAACCAAAGCATAGCCATGACAGTACAGAGGAAGGATGACTGGCTCCCTAGGCATAGCCATAGCATAGCCATAGCATACACAAGGCAAACACCAATGCCTTCACAAGGCATGTATAACCACAACAGGATCCACAACTGTATGACTTTACCAGGCACAGTGACCAAAATATAACCACTACTAACCTGCAGGCCAAAGTATTACCAATCATGGCACATACACAAAAGTGTGGCCATATAAGGCGCATAGGCCAAAGTATTTACATTACTGATGAAAAGCCCAAAGTACAACCATGTCAGGTACATAGGCATCTCACAACATTAATTGTTTCTGCAGCTTTTACATCGTTTTAAAATTGAAAATACTATTCAGATATTGTTGCTTATTGCTTTAAAAACAAACCTTAGACATGTGTGCATTAATAGGGGGTATTAGTGCATAGCTTTATTGTAATTATGAAGTGTGGTAAAAAAAAAAAAGTCCCCCCCCTTTTATCTTGTGTGCGTAGATCCCTAGATACCCTTTGACTGTTGAGTGCGTGCATGTTATCCCCCCAACTCCCCCTCCGAGCTCCTCCTCCCTCTCAAACACACAGAGTCGCATCAACAGCCCTCCATCTGCTCGCATACATCACACTCTTCATTTCAGTTTATTAGCCAGAATAAATCATAAATATTTCATTGTACATCAGCACGGATGGCGGGGGGAGCCGAGTCATCCATCTCATGCCCGCTCTTTGAAACCTGCCACCCGCCAATAACCCTTCCAGTCTATTAAACAAGATTGATACAGTATAGGAATCTGCTCATGGTGTGAAACACGAGGGGAAAGGCGGCTCCTGGGACCCAGAAAGGCTTCAGCTGCGGCGGAATCCTGGACTGCGCAGGTGCCTGACAAGCCTTGCACTCTAGGAGACATAGACACACACAGCAGGGTGTATTTTTTTACATTTTCTCAATAAAGGCGCAGTGGAGAAAATGACTGGATTTTCAGCAGAGCAATAACATATTAGTCATAGACTCTGATGAGTCTTTTCAATACAGTATCCCATGTTAGAAAGATCACACAGGTAAAAAATAAACACACTGACTCATTTGTCATATTGATCCCTGATATCTATAGTTGGGGTATTGGTCTTCCATGAGAATGTGAAAACTATGGTTCTGTGAGATTTCACAGGCCTGGCATATTTATTGGAACATGACAAACCTCTTTAATTGTGCAGTCGGGTACAAAACCAATAGAAAAGGTTTGTAATGAGTGTCCTTCTCTAAATATAACAATTTAATGATTATAATCTGATAGTTTGCACACATCTTAAATACATTGCAGCTACTTATTCACATGCTGCACCCCTTACTAATGTCCTAGAAGATGCACTCTAACATTGCATTACATTTACTATTTACTACCATCACAACCTTTCATCAATGACACTCACAGTTCCATTCATACATCTGCTTCTCACGCTAAATGCAGTTAAAGCTGACTCTGCCGCCATCAGGTCCCACATTGCTTAACTCGCCAGCATTGAAGTGCATGGAACAAGCTAATGTTACTTCTTCATAAAACTGCATGCTACTCTCACAGTGATCATAGTACCTTAATTGTTCCTTCACTTACAACACTTTCTGTGCCAGCACCTCCACTGATCCCTGTCATTTTTGTACCTGTTTTGAACCAGCCATCTGATGTGAAAGCTGTCTGCGTCTCCTGAGGCTTGTTCCAATATTTTTTGAAGACCGCGGGGCCCCGAACTTGCAATTCACCATCCTTATTTTCCAGGCCGGTAGAAACCTCAAGGAAAAAAAGAAAAAGGGGGGGGGGAGGGGTGAAATTAACCCTTGATTTCCAATCCTGCAAATCCTCCCGCATGCACATGCTAGATGCAGCTGGTGTTGACCTCACGCAAATACTACAGTTTTGGTAACGCGCCCACATCTTTAGGAAAACATCTGCTTCACACGGCATCTGCCAGTTGGGAGTCTTGGCACAGACTGGCGTCAGTTGGCAGAGATAAGGAGGGGGATAACACAATGCAATTCGCAAATCCCTAGTCTTCCTGTATTGGCGCGTTAACCTGTTCAACCCCAGAGAGAGACAGATACAGGTCTGTATGCTGAAATCGTGTCCTAATGTGTTTTATACCCTACCTCCTATACACTGTAAGCTCATTTGAGCAGGGTCCTCTTCAACCTATCATTCCTGTAAGTTTTCTTGTAATTATCCTATTTATAGTTAAATCTCCCCTCTCATAATATTGTAAAGCACTACGGAATCTGTTGGCGATATATAAATGGCAATAATAATAATAATAATAGTAATGAAATAGGATGCTAATGTTTAATAGTGTCACCCTACACCTCTGCCACCAGGTCCTAAAGTAGTATATTTGCTTTAATTAACGCAGTAACAACAAAAGCAGTAGAGGAATAGTTCTGGCAGCTCACAGGTTAAAATCCAAGCTACTAACAAATCAGAAAGTAATGTGGTTTGATCATGATTTTAAGCATCCTGAACGACTGTCAGTAGTTTTAATTTCTATCATTATAAATTAATATTAACGCTAAGTGAAAAAACAAACAAAACAAAAAACCTGAAAAACCAACAAGTTGTCACTGTATTGCTTCTTTTAAGGCCATCTGTTAAAACATACAGTATAAAATTCAGATGCCAGCATGGTTTACAGTCTATTCATTGAGCTAATGGGTGGCGATTCTACAGACTAATGAACTCTGCTAAGTATATGGCTGCAATTTTGGCCTATATTGCCATGCTAAGAAAAGGGAAAAATTATATCTAGAAATAGATGTTCTTGCCAAAATGTTGCAAGCTGCCAGTCAACTTTCCACAGCCTGTATTGATAATGACTAAATAGGTTCTTTTGACAGATAATATTTGTAATAGCTGACAAATGATAATGTTGTTACATCATTCTCAAATCATATCATAATAGTCATATTTCTGGTCATTTTGAACCCACACGGTGCTGATGTGTACATTAAGGCATACATCTGTAGAAATTAATCTAAAATGAAACAATAAAACAAGCATCGTGGGTTTTTTGGTTTAATATCTATGTGGGTTTTTTAGACCTTAGGCATGTAGACACAATGTTGCCTGTTCCCTAAACAATAATGATTACAATGGGCATTTGATTGATTGTGTAGCAATATTCCTATGTTATGGTGAACCTCCTGAAGTATGGCGCAGTCTAACTTAGACATTGTATACCCGCCGTACTATACTGATTTCACATACTCTAGTGCCAGTTTCATCTCCGTATGCATGGATAATATAGTTGCTTCCTTCTTTCTGTGGATTCTGGGACGTGATGCGGACCTCCACTGCAGGCAGAGGGTTGCCAACAGAGCCTGGAAAAGAGATGAACAGCAGGTAAGTAAAAGGTACCAATCTACACCCTTAGGCTGGTACCCTCTCTAGTGAGCTCCACTAGCTCAAAGAGAACTATAAATAGGAGCTGTGCAATGTCAGAGTGCCAAACATATAATTAAAGGCTAATCATACATTAGTGCCCAAAATATATGCAGGGCCTCTAATTGATTTAACCATTAGTTAGCCGAGACTGCCTGTGCTGGTTAAGTATTGCATACTAATGGTCACATGTAGAGTGAAAAGACAGCATGGGAGATAATAACAAGCTTTCATCATCTTTGATCCATAATGACATGAAGATAAAAAGAAACGGTTTATCGGCCACTTACACATATCATAGATATTATATACATATATGCAGTTTCCTGGATGCTCACAAGCTGTTTAACCTCTGCCCTACACGAGAGCCCCTTTAGTCAGGAGATCAGGAAACACGTAGAACCATTTAGACAGAAGATTATAAAAGAGATTCATGTTTGAAAGGTATTGCACTTAATGAGGTAACAGGGCTAATTGACAATAATCGTGTACCCTAAGGCAACAGAAATAATGAAACATTCCAAAAAGCGCACCCTTGAAACACCAACCTCAAACACCCTAAAAAGTAAGGGATATTTAAACACTGGAACAGTGGCTATTGCCAACTACATTTCCCAAGAGGCTCTGCTGCGATGCTGAAGTTTAGCCATCACTTCCATAAGTCACATTTTACATTACAATAACCACGCACATAAATGTCACATATGCAATGGACACATACTGTAAAGATACAATACAGTATATAAATGAATATTGTATTTTATTACAGCAATTAGTATACATTTGAAATGCATAAAAACTTCTACCAGATTCTCACTTGGCACACAAAGCAGACAGACCTAAAACACAGGATCAAAGACACAGAATTATACGTACAGAAAAACACACAGTTTTAAGCCCTTGATACGAAGAACACATACACGCAGCTCATATACCCTCAATAAATTGAACAGACGCCTGCCCTTGATGCACACGCTCCCCCCACCCCCGTGCCGCTCCTGCTTGCAAGAGCAAGTCTGTGTAATTGGCAATGCTGTGAATGTGCCAGGCTCTGGGGGGTCCACATTCTGCTGTGTATGGAGGGGCCCTGGGAGGATTGAGACAGGCCGGTGATAAGACACATTGCGATCCGCCTGTCACAATGCGCCAGGTCCCCGCTGGAGCAGCTATTAGCCAACTGTGATCTAAACCTCCAATTAAAGCGCTGATTAGACCCGGCGAGGCGTGAGCTTCCCATGAATAATTCATAGCTCTGCGCGTGAAGAGCAGAGAGAGAAACTCAAGCAAAGTCGGCAGAATTAACCCTTTTATGGCATTCGCGGCCTACAGTCAGCCTGCAGCACATTCATAGACATTCGCTTATTAATATCTAGTTACGCACGATGCTGGCGGTGCGTTACAGTCTAACACATCGGACTTGCCCAGCCATCACACCGCGCCTGCAGCCTACTGTGTTTACTCTTTAACTTATCGCCTAAGGAAGAAAGGAGTAACAAGATGGTGGATTGAACAAATGGGAATGAAGTTGAGCCAAACTTTTCAGCCACAGACTATTTTGCTTACTATAAGGCCCGGCCAAGAATCTGACTTCTTGAAGCAATATTTCAATGCTCAAAAGTAGAATATGCTTAAGAACAGCCACTGTAGCAGGAATGCAACTTACTGCAAGAAACTACTTTAAAACGGATTGCTATATCTAGAATGGTGTAATCCACCCAGCTCTGATACGGTCTTAAAAAAGTATGCTGACAGTCTAGCCTAAACAACATTATTATAGCTAAAATCCACTATGTAACTGAAGTATTAGTAAGAGAGAGTAAAGCAATACCAAGCTTAAAGGGACACTATAGTCACCAGAACAACTACAGCTTATTGTATTTGTTCTGGTGAGTATAATCATTCCCTTTAGCCTTCCTGCAGTAAACACTGTCTTTTCAGATAAAACACAGTGTTTACATTAAAGTCTAGGGATAACATTACTGGCCACACTTTTCAGATGGCTACTAGAGGTGCTTCCTGGGGCAGTGCTGCACAGTGTGACTGACATTCAGTATCTTCAGTGTCTGCATGCAGACACTGAACTTTCCTCATAAAGATTGATTCAATTCATCTCTAGGAGGAGATGCTGATTGGCCAGGGCTGTATTTGGCTTCTGCTGGCTCTGCCCCTGATCTGCCTCCTTGACAGTCTTAGCCAATCCTATAGGAAAGCAGTGTGATTGGTTCAGATCATGACTTCTGATGATGTCAGCCAAGGAGGCAGGTCAGGGGCAGAGCCAGCACAAGTAGACTGGAATAAATGTAATATTTCACTATATTTAGGGAGATCAAGGGGGTGCCAGGAGGGCTAGATGGTGGATTCAACACTATATGGCCAGGGATACATGTTTGTGTTCCGGACCCTGTAGTGTTCCCTTAAAGTACTAAAACCAGGCTACCAAACTGGCATATTACATTGACTTCTATGGCAAATATTACAGCTGTAGTGCAATATATCATTGGTTTGAAAGGAGGTTGTTTGAGCTATGACGCTAAAAACTAAATAAATTTAAAAAGAAAATTCCATTGGTTTCTATGGTGACTGTTCCATTTTTAGAGTGTTGCCCCATAATTTCTCTTGCATATCCCCAATGCCTTTACCAACGCTTACATGTTATTGGTATTGCCTTTGTACTGCACCAGAGAGTATGTTGGCTTTTTACAAATCTAATCGCCCAAAAAGAGAGAAGACACCATAACAAAGTGTATCAGGAACTTTGAGAAGTGTCTGTCTCAATTATCCCAAAGTAATGTGAATTTAAAGTTTCCGGTGTCAGGCAAGTAGTTTGCTGGTTACAATCTAGTTTCGGATTTATACTTCAAAGGAGGTCAAGCAGTCAGTAATGTAACAAAGCTGTTATGGTAACGGACAGCCCAGCTCTCAGTGAGTTCTCTTTTTCACAAATTGTTCTTTGCAAAAGGGTTATTTTTAATCCAGGAGTGTCCAATCTTGGCTCTCCATCCGATAACAGAAGCCATTACTCACTGCCACATATAGAGGGGAGGAAATCTTGACCTACATCATCAATTAACATTTTCCTCTAAAAAATAAAATCTTCTTATCTCACCTTGGAAGAGAAAAAACTGGTTTCAGAAACTCCCAAATACGAATGCCCTTTCTAGGTCCCAAATATTTTAAAAACAAAAACCCAAGTATGATGTCATTGATAAGACCGACCATCTTCCATGTAAATTAAAGGTACACTGCATAGAAAAAATATTTAACAATTTAGTACATATACCCCCCCAAAGAAAACACGCATGCATTTTTCTCTGCATGTTTTCTTTGGGGAATAAGAAAAAAAACTGCTTGTGAATGCTGCAAGCCATCCTTCCTGACGCAGACTTTCAGTCTATTCCAATCAGAGGCTTCTGAGCTGGAGCCGTGGGCGCACACACAACTGCGGCTTTTCAATTACTTTTCAGTGAGCTGTAATACAGCTCACTGAGAAATGGGGGAAGGCATGCGAGTGCTCTGTGGAGCTAATGGAAATGCAAGTAAACCGCTCTGTCTATCGGAGTGACAGTCAGGCAGGTGTTTCTGCCCTGATTATAAAAGTGCCAATTTATACTGAGAATTTTTACAAACTGTCGCAAATATGACAAACTCCAGACACATAAAGCACTTTAGCACAGTAGACACTAGAACCGCTTAACCTCAAGGCCCCTTGGAGCTGCCTATCCAACCAATTTTAAATAATTTGCAAGCACTTTGACAGTGAATGTGGATCCCAGGCCCCACAGCCTGGTTTTTACTGGAGGTATGGCTAAGGCAGAGATCAAACAATTCCTTCAAGTCATACCAAGTCATACCGGCAATGGCAGCTGTAATAGGCTGAAAGCAGTCAGCTGACACGCTCAGTCAGTCGCAGCTCTCCATTGCTGCTCAGGTTAATTCTTCCTCCTTTAGTTCAAGCAATAGACCCTAGAATGGTTTAACACTGAATGGAAGGACAGTTACACTGGACACTAGATACTATAACCACTGTTCCTACAGAGTTCCATTAAATTATACCCCCAATTTGCTTCTTCTGCTGAGATCTAAAAGTGAAATGCAGACTAATAACATTGTTTTAAATTGATTGGTTTTAATTGTATAAATCCCATAAATCCTTGTTGTTTATGGGATATTTGGTAAAGCTAACATCCTTCAACAGAGAGTGGCACCTACTTACACAAGTAGTTTTTTCATATTTTTAATGAATAAAACTACACAGCTGCTATGCATTACTTCAAAGAAAGCAATGGGAGAACTGTCGGATCTTTCAAAGTAGCGATTTGTGGAGGATACATAAATCTATTGTTTTTTTCTTTTCTTTTATAGTCTTATTATTAACTAATTAGGAGACATTAAGGACACAAAAATCATGCATCCAGCATATTATTAACGCAAAACAAGTACATTTTTAAAAAAATCCAGAATTATATTTTGCATAATGGGAAAAATGGTGTTGGACACACCTTTGGTGCCTTGACTGTCTTTGGGATTCCAAACTCTGTGCACCCCCGCCAGACATTGATGGCCTACAACTCCCAGAATTCTTTGAATGCAACAGAAGACAAGAAACTCATAGGAGATGTAGTTCAGCAACATCTGGGAGAGGCAGAGTTTGAGATGCCTGCTTTAAAGGCTTGGTAGTAAATACAAGTATCCAGGAACATGTGATGCCCGCTTTAACGGCTTGTGAGAGCTCAGCCATATTCTCTTCCAGTGCATCAAATCATATTTTCAGCTTAAGGATAAAAGACACAACACTCAGAGCAATAAAAGGTGATATTTTATGAAAAAGTTATATACACATAGAAAGAGGGATACAGCTGATAGAACCTAGAAAAATCTAAATACACAGCACATAGTGTGATACAGTACAATGAAATTCTTAGCGCTTAATTGAATGCACTCACAGAATTTAGCTGAAAAACAGGCTTCAAAGGTGCATCCCCAGATGGAGATAGGGGGCTTCAAATCCCTTCTTGGGACCGTTTGCACCACCTTCAATCATGACTCCGAGCGGTAGGTATATTAAAAGCAGCTTCAATCACATAGCTACAGCCAGTATGAAATGATTGTTAAAAATGAATAAAAACCATGGGTCCTACGCGTTTCGCCCTCTAGATAGGGACTTCCTCAGGGACCTTAAAATTATTGACAATCACAGAATATTGATGCTGGAAAAAAGACAGTCTAACAACCTCCACCCTCAAGTCCCTTTAAATAGGGCTAATCCCCAAGTTCATTGGTGGTTTCGTGGGCGGTTTCTTACTTTCTGGGTCCAAATGGTCAAAGTTTTCATCTAATCACCTGTTCTCCCATCGCCATAATTTCATCCTTCCTTCAGGTGTTGTTACTTCTCCAGCCGATGTAGGAGGCGGAAGTGCGTTCCAGTGAGCACTCTCGTGTGTTTCACTGGTAACTTGCGTGTTTGTCCTTGACCAAAGATGGCCATGGGTTTCACCCTAGTTCTGTAACTTAGTGATCAAACCGTGGTGGTCGCTAAGGACAACGCATTCAAAAGACTTATACAAAATTGTCTCAGCAGATGGCATCCATTCATCTATATTTAACATCTTTCTTTCACAAACTCCTATTAGTGTATATTTGTTATCCCTTATTGGAGAAACAATATAAATATAAATAAGAAATTGTTAAATTATAATTACAATAACCCAAGTTATAATTTAAACTAATTAAAATGATAATATTATAATGATAATATATCTAAATGGCAAAACAGGCGCATACCCGATTTATAGATCATGTGTATTCTCCTAATTTACTTAACCCCTTAAGGAAACATGACGGAAATATTCCGTCACGATTCCCTTTTATTCCAGAAGTTGTGTCCTTAACGGAGTTAATAGTGACAAGTGCATTATTAGTTGTAATACCATTACTCCTTTGGTGATTACATTAATATTTACATTCCAGGTGATGTGTTATAACAAAAAACATTAAGTATGCAGAATTATATATAGCCACACAAATCTTCACTAAGTTTGTTTCTAATTATAGTTAGTAGTTGACTAACCGTTCCCTATATATTTACCATGGGTGTTCTAAACATTAGAAAAAGAGGGAAATTACAAGAAAACAAAAACAGAGCTAAATTCTGTGCTAAGAATTCCATTTTACTGGATCACACTATGTTCCGTGTATTTAGATTTTTCTAGGTTCTATCAGCTGTCTCCCTCATTCTATGTGTATACAATTTTGGCTATTAAGCCTACTACCTGGGAGGAAATTTGAGGGAAACTGTTCTGTTTATAGATAAGTATAATTAATTTCTTTGTTGGTCACCACACTCATTGTACACTTGTAATGTAATGTAAAAGTTATGCATGGGAAGTGAGACATCACTGTTCCTTTACATTTGTGTCCATGAGACAATCAGTTTTCAATTTGTAGACTTTTCCCTTTGTACCTGGTATGCGCTCCCCATTTAGTGGGTTGGTCAAAGCCATGCCAATCTCAGTCATGCCATATCTCTCCAACAAGGTATGGCCAGTTATCTCTTTCCAACGCTCCAGGACCGGCACAGGAAGAGCAGAAGAACCGGATACCATTAACCTGCCATAACAGACATATTTGGAGAAAAAAATAAAATAAAAAATAAACTTTATTAGCTCATAGCCTTAAGAACACATGATCTATACTAGACACTGTATCAATAAGTCAAGCTCGAAGTTTGCTTTGCTGTGATAAACCGAAAGTGGAAAATACCTGATTTTATCCTGACACGTTGCCCGCACAAAGTCTTGAACGTTGGGGCTGGTATAGTGACGGTCATAGTACTCAATCAGCTTGCTGTAGATGGTGGGTACAGCCATAAAAATATTAATGGACGGCACATCTTTACTGAGAAAATGTTCCCAAACCTTGACAAGAACAAAAGATATGCATTAAAGAGGGATAACAGAGAAAATAATGCCCACCTTGCAACAATACAACCAAAAAATGGGAACAAGTCCAAGGGGCAGCTGTAGAGAAACTCAAGTCAGGAGCTAAGCCTATATCAGTTCCACTTGTCTGATAATCCAATCATTCACAGCAAAGGCGATCTAATGTATTTTCCTGCTGGGGAAATGTACACTGTTCTAAGTTCTAAGTGAGCAAATAAAGGAAGCAGCAATTATGGAGAGAATCTGCTTATGAACACGTTTCAATGCATGCAGACTCCTGCCAGGATTTTTATTTTAAAAACTGTTAGTGTTTAGATCTGAAAACCTTTAAGGGGATAAATGTATCACGCAAAGAGAAGAAGAAAAAATATATATATATTTTTATAGTAAATTTACGATTTCACCCAATGTTACAACTATGAGGAAGAAAAATTTAAGATTTCTAACTGAGATTACTGCAATGTGTACCACTCCTGCGCGGCAGCAATAACTATAGTACAGATTAGCCCCAATACGTAGGATAAAAACAAAAACAAACAAAACAAGTTACCTGCACATTTGAATAACTGGAGGTTTTTAGTATTACTCCAATGTCAAGGCAAACCTCTTAGGTGGGTCTACACTAATAATTCACCTCTAATGAGACAGAGCCTCTCTCTGAATCATTGGAGATTTTATCTCAAGGAAGTAAGGTGATTTGGTAGTGCAGGGCACCTAAGATGTTTTGCCTTTGATGTGGCAGGTGAACTTACACTTTAATGGCCACTTGAGCGAGAATAATAACCTCCAGATTAAATGTACATAGGGATTTGGGATAGTGCGCAGGTAACTTTTTTTGGTTTTTGTGAAGTACACCACTAGTTGCTGTCATCCTGACAGCCACTAGAGGCGTTTCCTCTTCCAGTACAAAGGGAAACTTTGCTTGTAGCAGTATTTGAGTGGAGAAGCGCAGTGTTTGAACTCACATGCCCAGTTCCACTACATTGATGGCGGTGGATCTTTCAGATCTGAAGGCTCCAATAGAGGTGTCTCAGTGCTGAAAAGGAGGTGAGGAATTAGCTTTATCATTTTTTTTTTTAAATCCAATGGTGGGTGGATAGAAGGGAACCTAATCTATAGTCCCGAAATAATGATTGTTACTTTCGAGACTATAGGTTTCCTTTAATCTTGATGCGATCACTATTCCAAAGTTCAGATACTGTTAGCATTTATTCCATAACAAATTGGTGAAAAGGCCTCTGTACCTTATGTTAAACACTTAAGTTTAAGCAATCGCAATCCTGAAGCAGAGATATCAACACATTAACAACCAGAGGAGTGAACCATTAGACACTTAGCAAATACAACACCTAAACGGAATTGAAAACACTTTGCTAACAATTAATGAATACCCCAAGATATTTCCTTAAACAGCTCAGCTGACTTACCGACACGTACAAGGCACGTCAACTCATTTTCAGAGGCCTTACCGCCAGTGAAATGGTCTGTAAATTTTGCATTGTGATCTCTTTGAAAACAGTTGCGTTATTCCAGTAGAATTTAGAAAACATTACTGACTATTAGAAATCCTGTGGTTAAATGAAAATCAATGCTCTGGTACAGTATGTATGTTCAGTGAGCAACCCCAAAATCAAAGGGCAAGTATGGCTACTATACACCAGCAGCGTGAATTATAGCTTGTGCCATGCTGGACATTTTCAGCTGGAGAGTCACAGACTCAGTAATGCATCCATGGTTTTAGTTTGTTTGTTTATGTTTTAGTTTTATTTAATTGTTTTAATTAAAATTGGAAAGCACTGTACATTTTTTCTTATATAAAATAAAAAATTCTGGGTTGAAATTTAACTTGACTGCTATTTTCCAATCCATTCTACAGAGAACACACACACAAAAAACCACAAAAATTATTTGTCCTCCCTTCTTTGCTGCAAAGGACTTGAAAGTGTGTTTTATTGGAAGAAATATGACTGGTGTAATGGATGCTTTTCCTAATTTTATTTTTTTGTCGTATGAGTCTCTTCAAACAAAATGGTCTCACATGATGCGCTGTATTCAGTTTCATAGAGATGGGAAACTTACCATGACCTGCGATCTCACATTCTAAACGGATGGAACTGTGTTTGAAATTAAAATGTAATTGCATTTGCAAACAAATGTTATATATAGTAATTGCACAGCTATCGAATTTAGTATGTGACGTTCGGAAGACAGCTCCCCATTTCTATATTTAGTAGGATCCTGATCTGCTATTTTTTAAATAAACATTTGTTACTGCAGTTATTTTATATAACGGACTCATTAAACTCATATGCATTGTTATGATATTGCTCATCACAACACATAGAGTAACCTTGATAAACACTGCAGCTGCTCACACTCAAGCAGTTATGCACACGAGACAGTATGCACCCAATGGAAAGTGTTGTAATAAAACCAGAATATTAAAGAACCAAACTATTCTATGCACTGTGTGAGACACTCCATTTTCTCTACAATGCTCTATTAATCTGCAGCATTTTGGAATAGTCTCTAGATCTATAAGCCGAGCTCAAATAGGTTATAAAATCTCCTGGTGGGTGGGGTGTATGCTCAGCACTCCTGACAACAAGAATGAAGGAGCTTTTTTGTATTTAATCTGCTTTTTAACACTTTAAAATGGGGTCACTATCCTATTACGTCTTCACATAGTTGACTTTTGCCTCACCATCAAATCATTAACTTTACAGTGTTTAGGACACTGACACAGAGTTTAAGAAATGTTGTGTTGTGTTGACTATTTTGTTTTTTTTAGTTCTAGGTTGAAGTCTATGATTTCAAGAAGGTAGTGTCTTACAACTTGGAAAGAGTCAATGAGTAGAAATCGTTCTGCAGAAGGCAGGAAGTCAGAGAATCCATGTGTCACTTGGATAAGTAGAAGGATACCAAATTTTTCGTCATACATACTGCTTTAGTAGGTGATGTTACATGAGTGGGAGGATGAGCCAATCAGATCGTTTTATTGGCTTGTAGTATATGGCCACAGCTCCAGAGTTATAGCTGAGGGTATACTTACGGGTTAGCAGGTAAAAATGACTGAGGCACTGGTTAATGAACCTGGGCTCAACAAGCATCTCTCAAAATCCTGCCTCGTCAATTGGGCCTCCGGAGAGATTTGAAGAAAACTAAAACTTGGGCACTATAACGATGGTTTCTATTGCCACCCTTAAAACAGCAAGTTAAAAAAACGGGTTCCATAGCCATCCCTGCAATAGTTTATAGCATTTTTAGAGTCTCTAATTATTTATTCACAATTACAAATATTCCTCGATAGCCCTAACCTATCCTGCCCTGTACACGTAGAAAGCAAACATTGTCGTCAGATAAAAGGTGAACTGTTCAGAGCCTGAGAAGGCAGATGTCCTCAGCGATCTTGCTGCAAACTATAGGCATAATATTCCCATGAGCTGTCTATAGTCTTCTCTCCCCCCCCCCCTTCTCCTCCGCCTCTCTTTCCGACACCACTCGTATTAACGTGCTTTAGTGCAGCTGAGAGAGAGACATCATACCCACTGAGAAACCTTTAATTCAACACAGCTAGAACGAGAGAGAGATGCTGATAAAGAAAATAAGGAAGGGAAAAAAAACACTCAGTGTGTAAATAACCGATCTCTTACCACAGTTTAAAATATTTATATTGTAAAAAGAACGAGTTCATATCTGTTACTTTAATATAGCTCTTACATGCCAGATAATTCCAGTTATAAGGAGCATGATTAAAAGCTTAGGCAATTACATTATATGTAAGTTAATGGATGCTGCTTGTAAAAATGCATTCTGCCTTGGTATATATTTGTCATTAGCACCTCGCATTAAAGGAAGAGTCTGGTTATAGGAGGAGATAGTTACATCAAGTGAGAAGTGTGGATCTGCATGTCAATGTCTTAACCAGAATGCAGTCTACGGTCAGTTGAGACCACGTTAGCTGCAGATGTTATCTTTTTATTGGTGCACAGATAGAAAGGCAGTGTGCCCAATGAAAAGCGTACATTGCTTTAGTTACTAAGTAGTCCTGTAAATGCAGAGTGCTGGCAATATTGCCCTTGGTGTTACCTGACTGTCCCCTCTGATGAGCTAAACAGGCAAAACGCGCGTCAGGGGTGCTTCGCTCACACTAGCAATCTACCTAACAGTGTTACCAGACAGGTTAGGGATCTCTTCATGAAGGTTACCCATAATCAGGATGAGTCTTTAACGACTTTTGGAACAGCCAGATAACACCAAGGGCAATATTACCAGCACTCGGCATTCACTGGACTACTTAGTAACTAAAGCAATTTACGCTTTTCATTGAGCACACTGCCTTTCTTCTGTATATTGAGGGGAGGCTTTGGATAACGGTCAGTACAGGACAAGCTTTTTGTTGGGATAAGGGGTGCCATCGAAGGCAGGAGAGGGGGAGATAGTTTCTACCTGGAATATTCCTCCTGCCCTGTACCCACTGATTCTCCCTTGTCACCATACTTATAGGCTGCAATAGTCATTTTTGAATGAATGAATGTCAATTTACTGCACTATTTGTTACATTGTGATTAGACTGTAAGCAGCAATTAAGGACCTACCTTACCATACAGTCAGCATCAATGCTTGCTACTTTGTATCTGAGTTAACATTGCAGCAGGTTCTAGTGATATTATTATAATGCACTGTCACAGACCTTATCATTGACAGAAAGTGCGCAGCTTCTGTTATTATTTTTTTCAGTTTGTAACCTTATATTGAGTACTGTAGCAGTTTATCTAGTGATACCTGTGTTAACCCTGTACAGCCACAGTGTGGAATCTTTATACTTACCACGTATTACTACTGATATTAAGGACAGTTTATGGTTTACGTATAGTACATAGGGCTGTGCTTGGGGGGACATTGCGATATCAATATCTCCACTCAATGTGGGCTCATGACTAGATCTTAATGGCAGCCAGATCAGTATAGTATTGCTGTAACATAGCACCACTGTAATACAGTGACACTGCGATAAAGCTGCCAATATTATTTTACACAGCTGTGAAAAAGTACGAGTGCGAGACTGTGAAATTATTTGGGCTAACCTGCACTAGTTCTGCACTCTGTACCCTGCAAGACTATGTATATTATAGTCCACCTCTGATTGCTAGTGTTAAGGAGTTCATTATTCATTGCACCATACTACCATAGATATAGACCTCTCACACCTTCTACCTATGTTTTGCAGATGCCGTATCTTTACAAGAATGCATTATTGTGCCAGTCTTGCGATATTTATTTTTATGTGTGTCGTTTTTTTTTCCTTTGTAAAAAAAAAAAACTTTTTTTGCCTGTGGGTTATCTTGTTCTTCATAGTCCACAATTGGACTATTGAGCCAATCTATTAAATGTTAAGTTTTAACAAACAAATATTTTTCACTGAACTGTATGTCAGTCATATCTGTACCTAGTTGCATTCTTCATCTTTTCTCTTTGTATACATTTATACTGGGGTAAACCCCCAAATCAGGAGGTTCTGCAACTTCTGGCTCTATTTCCTTCATTTTTCTTTTCTCTTCTAAATTAAGAATAAAAATGATTCTAGATGATGAGATATGTTAAAGGGTCACTATAGTCACCCAAACAACGTTAGCTTAATGAAACAGTTTTGGTGTATAGATCACGCAGTCTCACTGCTCAATTTTCTGCCATTTAGGAGTTAAATCACTTTGTTTATACAGTTCTAGGCACACCTCCCTGCATGTGACTTACACAGCTCTCCTAAACACTTCCTGTAAAGAGTCATATAATGATTACACTTAATTTACTGCAAATTCTATTTAATTTAGAATGCCCTATCTCTTGCTCTGTTAATAGCTCTCTAGACCCTGCAGGAGCCTCCTATGTGTATTTAAAGTTCAATTTAAAGAAGGAGATAAAAACTTTTAACACATACATCTGATTGAAAATGAAACAATTTTGTTTTCATAAAGGCTGTGTTGGTCACAGCCAGGGGAGGTGTGCCTAGAGCTGTATAAACAAAGTGATTTATCTCGAAATGGCAGTGGATTGAGCCGTGAGACTGCAGAGGCATGATCCATACACCAAAACTACTTAATTAAGTTTAAGTTGTTTTGGTGACTATAATGTCCCTTCAACATTTTCTACCTAGCAAAATATATAAATATATATATATAAATGTCACATAATAATCCATAACAAGCAATATGTCCAGCTTTCATACATGACACATGATATCAGGAATACAGCAAGACACATACAGCACAACATAGCTGAACAACTGCAGCTTATTGTATTTGTTCTGGTGAGGGTAATCAGTACCCTTAAGCTTTTTGCAGTAAACATTGTCTTTTCAGAGAAAATGCAGTGTTTACATTACAGCTTAGTGATACCTCCACTGGCCACTCCTCAAATGGCTAGTAGAGGTGCTTCTGGCGCAGTGATGCACAGTATGCAGCACTGCCATTCGGGGTCTCCTCCCTCTGCATTCTGCATGGAGACACTGAATTTTCCTCATAGAGATGCATTGATCTCATCAATACAGCTCTACGATGAGATGCTGATTGGCCAGGGCTGTGTTTGACCCTGCCCCTGATCTCCATCCTTGACAGTCTCAGCCAATCCAATGGGAAAGCATTGTTATTGGCTCAGAACAACCCTTCTGATGTCAGCCAAGCAGGCAGATCAGGGGCAGAGCCAGCAGCTGCAGACTTGAACAAAAGTAAGATTATTTACTATTATTATTATAAGATTATTATATTTAGGGGAATACAGGGGGGGCTAGATGGTGGTTTTAAAACCATAGGGTCAGGAATACAGTTGCCAGAAAAAGTATGTGAACCCTTTGGAATGATATGGATTTCTGCACAAATTGGTCATAAAATGTGATCTGATCATCATCTAAGTCACAACAATAGACAATCACAGTCTGCTTAAACTAATAACACACAAAGAATGAAATGTTGCCATGTTTTTATTGAACACACCATGTAAGCATTCACAGTGCAGGTGGAAAAAGTATGTGAACCCCTAGACTAATGACATCTCCAAGGGCTAATTGGAGTGAGATGTCAGCCAGCTGGAGTCCAATCAATGAAATGAGATTGGAGGTGTTGGTTACAGCTGCCCTGCCCTATAAAAAACACACACCAGTTCTGGGTTTGCTTTTCACAAGAAGCATTGCCTGATGTGAATGATGCCTTGCACAAAAGAGCTCTCAGAAGACCTACGATTAAGAATTGTTGACTTGCATAAAGCTGGAAAGGGTTATAAAAGTATCTCCAAAAGCCTTGCTGTTCATCAGTCCACGGTAAGACAAATTGTCTATGAATGGAGAAAGTTCAGCACTGCTGCTACTCTCCCTAGGAGTGGCCGTCCTGTAAAGATGACTGCAAGAGCACAGTGCAGACTGCTCAATGAGGTGAAGAAGAATCCTAGACTGTCAGCTAAAGACTTACAAAAGTCACTGGCAAATGCTAACATCCCTGTTAGCGAATCTACAATACGTAAAACACTAAACAAGAATGGATTTCATGGGAGGCTACCACAGAGGAAGCCACTGCTGTCCAAACAAAACATTGCTGCACATTTACAGTTTGCACAAGAGCACCTGGATGTTCCACAGCAGTACTGGCAAAATATTCTGTGGACAGATGAAACCAAAGTTGAGTTGTTTGGAAGAAACACACAACACTATGTGTGGCGAAACATCAAAACCTCATACCAACTGTGAAGTATGGTGGTGATGGCAGAAGAAAATACGCCTTCTGAAGTGGCACAGTCAGAGTCCTGACCTCAACCCGATTGAGATGCTGCGGCATGACCTCAAGAAAGCGATTCACACCAGACATCCCAAGAATATTGCTGAACTGAAACATTTCTGTAAAGAGGAATCGTCAAAAATTACTCCTGACCGTTGTGCAAGTCTGATCTGCAACTACAGGAAACATTTGGTTGAAGTTATTGCTGCCAAAGGAGGTTTAACCAGTTATTAAATCCAAGGGTTCACATACTTTTTCCACCTGCACTGTGAATGTTTACATGGTGTGTTCAATAAAAACATGGCAACATTTCATTCTTTGTGTATTATTAGTTTAAGCAGACTGTGATTGTCTATTGTTGTGACTTAGATGATGATGATCAGATCACATTTTATGACCAATTTGTGCAGAAATCCATATCATTCCAAAGGGTTCACATACTTTTTCTTGCAACTGTGCATGTTTGTGTTCCTGACCCCATAGTGTTCCTTTAAATATAGCAATATGTACATGTCTAATATATCAGACAACATACATTGATACAGTACTATATAAAACTCACATATACAGAACAACATAACGCAATTATATAGCAAAATTTACAACTCTATATATAGCCAAAAATAGCAGAAAGTCAGCTTTTATATATAGTATAGTTTTGTTCATATATGGCAATATGTACAAATCACAGAACACAGTTATCTCTAATATAGCAAAACATATAGTTTCATGATGTACAATGTAGCTCAAATACAACAATATGCACAGCTCACATAAAGGGCAGTATAGCTCAGATACAATAATATAGCCCTTATTTATGGCACATCATAAATCAAACATAGCATTATCTACCAGCTGATAGAGTGAGTCTCAATGGAATTTTCTGTTCGATATATCAGAGGTGTCATTACTGGTTCTATACCATGGGTATCAGAGTGCTGTAACTATGATACCCCCATGTGGGGATAACAAGACACCTCTTTTATTTTGTATTGTGATAAAATTCACTCCACCCTGTCTCAAGTCTTTTCTCGCTTTCTCTGTGCCACTAATCTACAGGTTTGCCCGCCATGTTATAAATATATACAACTAGCGTACGTAATATTTATTGTTTTACAAATCCTTAACCTTACATTTCTCTGTGTTGTGATTCATCAACTACTTCAATTTCCAGTCTCCCATTTGAACCAAATCAAACTGTTGAGGACAACTATTCATTCATATTTTGCGTTGTCTGCAGACATCAGTATTGTGCTTTTGTGTAGCCTTAAAGATGACTGATAAACTACAATCATTGTGACAAAGGATGGATCATTGATGTAATGTTGGAGCACTTAAAGTTATTACCAAAGGACAAAATATTAAATTAATTATAATTGTATTTGCATGTTTCTTTGTCTAATCCACTGTATAAAACATGAACATGATTCATAAACTGTAATATTAGTAAAGAAATATTTGTTGTGCTGAATACAATGTTCTGGACTGGCAATACATCATACCACCCATCTCTGTCAAGTCAACTTCCTCCCGTTTCCACTTACCTTTTTAGGGGAGAATTCAGGCAGCATTACACATGTGGCTCCAACCCACAGAGGGCACATCAACTTATTGACCACGCCATGAACATGGTGAAGAGGTAGGACGTGAAGTATACGGTCTTCTTTGGTCCACTGCCACGCACTCACTAGAGCATTCACCTGGGAGATGGATCAAAAAATATAGGAGATTCACATGGAGCCAAGTTGAAGAACTGGATGGAGCACTAGAGGGCAGCACAGCCCACAGAGGCAACATTAGACTGACATTTGGCCATATATTAAGAACTTGGAAAATTCAGGACAATTCAACAATATACAAACCACTTCCAAAAACAAAATGTCCCTTTTGATTCAGTTTGCATGGGAACTTGAAACCTGTTTTATCGAAAAGCATGTATAATTTGATGATGTATAGGTTATGGGATCAGTATCCACTTCATCTCCTATTGCCTGTAAACATGGATCCTTTAAACAATAGATACATTGATTGGTGATGTATTGCAAATCAGAATTTCTAGATGTTGTGTGAAGCTATACAATTGATACATGGAATATAAATGAAGGAGGTCAGTCTTTATTATATTTTAAAATTTCCAGCCCAAGAACTTGATATCACAAACCGTAATCTTTGGGAAATGGTTGATTGACAATTACAATGGGAATTAGAATGATAAGAATTTGTTCAATATAAGAAAACAGAATGCTTGTTAAATGTTCCTGTCCGTTACGGTCTCATTATTTTGGACAGGGATCCTCACACTGGTAGCTGGCAGTATAGATATAACCATCAGATATAGTTTGTGTTACTATCTTATGTGCTGGGAACTGACCAATACCTGTGACTGGAGTAATTACTATGTTTGTAGCTAAATTGTAATTTTTTTTGTTTATTATGGACTAACTGAGAATTTTGGAAAATTGGAAAAACACAAAACTGTACATTTTAGGTTAAATAAACTGTGCTTTTAAAAAATAGTTAGTAAACCCACAAAGGACTATACTCCTGCCAAACGGTGATCACCCACCGGACCACAACCAATACAACCACACTGATAGGCAGCTACTACAACATTATCGCAGATGGACCCTCGACGAACAGGGACCTAGATAGCACTACCACAAGGGTCCACTGCAGCCATGAGCAGCACAGACCCGAAACCAAACCCCCAAAGGGCACACCACAGCCCTACTGTTGAAACTATTTGTCTACGTGTGACAGAACCTGTACTGTACAGAATGCTGTAATCCTTGATATACAAACCGTGCACTAACCCATCTTTTTATATTTCTGTAAAACTGTTACTTTATGAAAAAAACGCAAAAATAAAGAATTCTTTAAAAAAAAAAAAAGTGTGTAGAATCTCCACAACTCTCGGTTTATGGAATAAGCACCAATTCTTTCATCGGTAAAATATACCTTTGACCCACATTGATTCTTATTGGATATTTCACATTACATGTGTGCAGGGACATGAAAGAAAAAAAACAAATCCCAATGCACTGCAAAATACTGTCACTGACATTTTAGGTTAAATTGTATTAACTTGGAGAATGTATTCATTCAATCATTTAGATCAGACCAATGCTTACTATAAAATTTGGGCTAAAATTTTACATTTAGTCAATATATTCATATCATCTCAATTACTAGATCTGGTTAATTAATTAGTCTTACCGTAGCATGCAGGTTTTGGTGTGAGCTGACAACACCTTTGGGTCTCCCAGTTGTCCCGCTAGTGTAGACAATCATGGCTTCTCTCTCTTTCCAATTTAGTTGGTGAAGATCAACTTCAGAAATTTTCTTTACGGAGAGTTGAGGCTGAGCTCCAGACACTGTGAGCATAGAAATCCCTAGTTTTTCAGCCAAGGGAGCCATAAGATCTTTGTAAATTTCATGTGCCACAACCAGTGCACTCTGGGAATCTTGAAGAACATACTCCAGCTCTGGAAGAGGATGAGTCCTGCAAAGAGGCACAGCAATGGCACCGCTCATCCATGCAGCCCACTGGCAGACTACATAAGAGGAGTCATTGGGGCACAGGAAAGACACTCTCTCGGGTACACAGTCATTATTCGGAGACCCCAAGACTTGGTTGATTCTTTTGGACAGGGAGTAGCTTTGAAGGTAGAGGTCCTTGTATGAATGCTGTCCATGATGGTCAATAAAAGCTACCTTGTTACCAAAAGCTGGTGCTCTGAGAAATACTGGCCCTGCATTGTGGCTATTGTAAGTCTTAGAGGCTTGATGTGAACAGGGCAGTTGGAGAACTCTCGATCCATAGATGTACCTCCTCAAACACAAGGGAAGAAAAACGAGACCATCACTGGATACACCCCAAAACTTGAGTTTTAAAAAGCCTCTTCTTAATAGCATGGCCATATGGTACTCCAATATAAATTAAAAGCAAAAGTCTTCAACAATCACAAAACAGTCCTACTAACCAACCTCAGGGAATATCCAGGAGGTGGTCTATACATCTGCGAATGGCTCCACTGCAGAATAATGCTGTAAACATAAAGATTCCAAAAAGATGTACAATAAGGTACTACAAGCTGAAATGAAAGAAACATTAAACAGAATAAAAGACTATAAAGATATTCTTTAGAAAGTTAATAGATAATATTTTGATAAAGGATCAGTTTTTCCCAACTAAATGACCAACAGACACCTTTCGTTAATTGTTTAATGGCCCAGTGTAACAGAACAATGAGGGAAATATCATGAATATGAAGCTCCATGGAACAGCTCTTAAAAATAAGACTAGATAAGACATGAGAGAGTCAGAACTGGAAGATAGAATTATGGTAATCTTAGTAATGTATTTGATATTGATATTCAAGTATGCAGGGTAGAATGCTTGTTAGTGCATCAGAATCCATGTTAGAACTTGAAGTCAATTATGAGTTTGTTTTGTGCGGCAGCTAAAGGTTAGATGTTACATACGTAGGCAAGTCCAGATGCAGATCTGTGGGTTAGGAGAAAGGTATGTCCAGCCATGCAGGACACCGTTTAGCAGAGGATTGCAAAAGAGAATGCAGCATAAAATTAGTCAAAATAATAACAACTCTATATATTTAATTTTATAAAGGATTCAGGTGTTATCCATTCACTCATTTTTTTCTGAAATGCCTGTGTAGGATCGTTACGTGCTGTAGCCGATCTAACCAACAGATGCCATTTTAATGTCTCCTTTGCATCTCTCATTAAAGGTCTTGGCAACACCGGTTAAGATCTACAGAAACACTGTATATCATAGCCAGCTGCTATAAGATGCACTTTTTTGTCAAGGTAGATATGTAGTCTCAATAGTTAAGATTTGGGGAACTTTCCATTCACATGTCATAACAGAATATTTAGAAACTGCATTTAAAAAAAAAAAAAAAACATACTTTTTGTGAAAGAAAAAGAAAATTACTCCAATACAATATATAGATTAAATTGATTTTTGGTGGTAAATTTATCGTCCACAGATTTACTTTAAAGATCTATTGTGGGGTTTTTTTTAGTTTTTTACAGGGCCTTACAGCACTGTCTAACTTTTGTGGAACTTACATTTGTTTTCACATTACTGGCTGCAGGTGAGCCATGATGACACAACCATTCTCACACTATTCAACAACAATATCGATTCAGTGAAAATGGGCCCTATACTTTGTTTATGAATATATATGCACCTGTTTATGGCTATATTTATGTTCTTTTGTTTGTATCAAGCAAAAAAAGGAACGCTATAGGGTCAGGAACAGAAACATGTATTCCTGATCGTTTAGTGTTAAACCATTATGTAGGTGGCTTGACCCATTCAGAGAAACATAGAATGTGACGGCAGATAAGAACCATTCGGCCCATCTAGTCTGCCCAACATTTCGAAATACTTTCATTAGTCCCTGGCCTTATCTTATAGTTAGGATAGCCTTATGCCTATCCCACGCATGCTTAAACTCCCTCACTGTGTTAACCTCTACCACTTCAGCTGGAAGGCTATTCCATGCATCCACCACCCTCTCAGTAAAGTAATACTTCCTGATATTATTTTTAAACCTTTGCCCCTCTAATTTATGTCCTTTTGTTTTTCTTCTTTTAATCCCTTAACGCCGTTACGGCATTCTATGGCGTCGCCATTTAAATGGGCTTTAAAGCCGTTGCGACAGCATACAATGCCGGCTTGCAGCCCTGGAGCCTCTGTAATACTTACCTTCACGTCGATCCGCTTCAAGGGGACTGCCTGACAGCCTAGGTAGCCCTCACACAGCAAATCAGGCCCCCGGGGGCCATGTGATTGCACTCAAAGAACTATCACATGGCATCCTATAGCTGGCTGTGGATCTTCCAGCACGGAGACTGTCTGGGCTGTCAGACAGTCCCCCTGCTGGTGGAGGTGTAAAAAAAATTATTATTTAACATGTTTAAAATAAATTAAATATACATATTATATATATATATATACATTAAATATATATATAATATATACATTATATATATGTAACATCATATGTAATATATTTAATTAATATAAGTACATATATTAGTATTAAAATACACTTAGAATGAAGTTAAACATACATAAGATATACATACTAAAGATATAATTGTTGTGATACGTTTTACTGTTTTGAAACACTAATATTTGTGTTCAGCAAAGTCTCCCGAGTATAACAGTACCCTTCATGTACAGGTTTTATGGTGTTTTCAAAAGTTACAGAGTCAAATATAAGGCTTGCGTTTCAGTTTTTTCACATTGAAATTCTCCAGATTGGTTATGTTGCAAAAAAGTAATTTGAACGCCATTGGAATTTTTTGCATTTTTCACACGCAAATGGCATATACACAGGGGCGTTTTAGCCGCGAGGCAGGGGCGTTTTAGCCGCGAGGCAAATAAGACATTTGCCTAGGACAGCATTTTCCAGGGGGCGGCAAAAAAAGCCGCCCCCCAAATGCCCAGGGCAAATGCCTTGTTAGCCTTGCGGCTAACAGACATGCTGGGCGGGCGGGCGGGCGGGCGGCTGGCGAGGGAGCTCTTCCTCTCGCGCTGCCGCAGGCCGTGGTCGGCCGATGACGTCATATTCCGGCTCCCAGCCTCGTCTGCGGCACGCGAGGGAGCTGAGCAGACCGCTCAGAGGAAGAGCTCCCTCGCCAGCCACCAGCCGCCCGCCCAGCAGCCACTGGACCCCCCAGGGAGATAGAGAACCCCCACCCTCCAGTATTACCAAAGGTAAGGAAGCTGGGGGGCGGGTTAAATAAATAAATAAATATGTTAGTGTGTCTGTTAGTGTGTGTGTCTATTAGTGTGTGTCTGTTAGTGTGTGTGTGTCTGTTAGTGTGTGTGTGTCTGTTAGTGAGTGTGTGTATCTGTTAATGTGTGTATGTGTGTTAGTAAGTGTGTTTGTGTGTCTGTTAGTGTGTGTGTGTGTGTCTATTAGTGTGTGTGTGTCTATTAGTGAGTGTGTGTATCTGTTAGTGTGTGTGTGTCTGTTTTAGCCGCGAGGCAAACAAGGCATTTGCCTTGGGCGGCATTTTCCAGGGGGCCCCCAAATGCCCAGGGCAAATGCCTTGTTAGCCTTGTGGCTAACAGACGTGCTGGGCGGGCGGGCGGCTGGCGAGGGAGCTCTTCCTCTGAGCGGTCTGCTCAGCTCCCTCGCGCGCCGCAGAGTGAGGCTGGGAGCCGGGTTGATGACGTCATATTCCGGCTCCCAGCCTTGTCTGCGGCACACGAGGAAGAGCTCCCTCGCCAGCCCCCAGCCCAGCAGCCACTGGACCCCCGGGGAGATAGAGAACCCTCCCTACCCCCCAGCATTCCCAAAGGTAAGGAGGCTGGGGGGGGGGGATGTTAAATAAATAAAAAAGCATGTTAATGTGAGTGAGTGAGAGTGCGTGTCTGTTAGTGTGTGTGTCTGTTAATGTGAGTGAGTGAGAGTGCGTGTCTGTTAGTGTGTGTGTCTGTTAGTGTGTGTGTGTGTCTATTAGTGTGTGTGTCTATTAGTGTGTGTCTGTTAGTGAGTGTGTGTATCTGTTAGTGTGTGTGTGTGTGTCTGTTAGTGTGTGTGTGTCAGTGTGTGTGTCTGTTAGTGTGTGTGTGTGTGTCTATTAGTGTGTGTATCTGTTAGTGAGTGTGTGTGTATCTGTTAGTGAGTGTGTGTGTCTGTTAGTGAATTTGTGTGTCTGTTAGTGTGTGACTGTTAGTGTGTGTATGTCTGTTAGTGTGTGAGTGTGTATCTGTTAGTGTGTGTGTGTGTGTGTCAGTGAGTGTGTGTCTGTTAGTGTGTGTTCGCTGAGTGTGTGTGTCTGTTAGTGTGTCTGTGTGTGTGTCTTAATGAGTGTGTCTGTTAGTGAGTGTGTGTGTATCTGTTAGTGAGTGTGTGTGTCTGTTAGTGTGTGACTGTTAGTGTGTGACTGTTAGTGTGTGACTGTTAGTGTGTGTATGTCTGTTAGTGTGTGAGTGTGTATCTGTTAGTGTGTGTGTGTGTGTGTCAGTGAGTGTGTGTGTCTGTTAGTGTGTGAGTTTGTGTCTGTTAGTGTGTGTGTGTCTGTTAGTGTGTCTGTGTGTGTGTCTGTTAATGAGTGTGTCTGTTAGTGTGTGTGTGTGTGTTTCTGTTAGCTAGTGTATGCGTATCTGTCAGTGAATGTGTGTGTGTATTTTAGCAGGTTGGGTGGAGGTGGCACACGGGGGAGGGGGCGCCTGAGTTTTGTCCTGCCTAGGGCAGCACAACACCAGGATACACCACTGCATATACACTGACGATATAATTGTTGTGATACGTTTTACTGTTTTGAAACACTAGTATTTGTGTTCAGCGAAGTCTCCCGAGTATAACAGTACTCCCAATTGCAAAAGGTTTTATGGTGTTTTCAAAAGTTACAGAGTCAAATATAAGGCTTGTGTTTCAGTTTTTTCACATTGAAATTTGCCAGATTGGTTACGTTGCAAAAAACGAATTTGAACGCCATTGGCGTTCAAATTAGTTTTTTGCATTTTTCACACACAAACAAATATTAACACTAACTTTGGCCAGTGTTTGTGACCAAGTGGCTACTAAAAAAGACTGGACATACCCCATTTGCAATACCTTGGGTTGTCTACTATTGCAAATGGTATGTCATCATGGAGGTAATTCTCATTCCTGGGCTACCATACGGTCTCAAATGTAACGTAACCAATCTGGCGAATTTCAATGTGAAAAAACTGAAAAATTGAACATGCTAGATTTGACCCTGTAACTTCCCAAAACACTATAAACCCTGTACATAGGGGTACCGTTTTACACGTGAGACATCAATGAATAGAAATATGTGTATTTTATTGCAGTAAAAGCAAACAGTATGACATTCAGTTAAAATGTTTTTTTTATATTTTATTCATATTAAATTATGTTTCATACATAAATATTTAATGTTAAAAGAAAGCCCTGTTTCTCCTGAATAAAATGATATATAATAAGTGTGGATGCACTTAATATGAAAGAGTCGAATTACGGTTGAACAGACATATAGTCAAATTCCAGATTTTGTTTTGAGAACGTGTACATTTGGCTCAGTCCTTAAGGGGTTAAATATAGTCTCCTCCTTTACTGTTGATTCCCTTTATGTATTTAAATGTTTCTATCATATCCCCCCTGTCTCGTCTTTCCTCCAAGCTATACATGTTGAGATCCTTTAACCTTTCCTTGTAAGTTTTATCCTGCAATCAATGAACCAGTTTAGTAGCCCTTCTCTGAACTCTCTCTAAAGTATCAATATCCTTCTGAATATACGGTCTCCAGTACTGCGTACAATACTCCAAGTGAGGTCTCACCAGTGTTCACCTAGAAATGTACCTCCTATTTTATATAGAGCTGCGTGGGTCCACCAATGCTGACCCTGTCCCCCGATCTGCCTCCTTGGCTGACATTATCAGAATTGATGATCTCAACCAATCCAATGCTTTCTCATAGGGAAAGCATTGGAGTGGCTGAGATCACCAAGGAGGCTGGTTGGGTGCGTGGCTAATCAGTACATCTCTATAAGGAAAGTTCAGCATCTCCATGCTGAGAGTGTGCAGCACTCCCCCAGGAAACACCTCCAGTGACCACTGGAGGTGTCCCTAGGTTTTCATATATATACTGCCTTTTCTATGAAAAGACAGTGTATGCATGAATATGTCTGCAGGGACTGTCTGTACTCACCAGAACAACTACAATGAGTTGTTTTGATGTCTATAGTGTCCCTTTAAATTGAGTTTAAATGGAATTGAAGTGGTCTGAGTGTAGTGTCCCTGTGCCCTTTTAGAGAAATTGCAATATTTTCATAGCAGTGTTTAGACTGCCTCTACTGGTGCTTTCTATTGTTTCACTGAGTTTAACATTTAACGCTTTACATGTTCAGTATCTTTTAAAAACCCATAGGAAAGCATTGACTAAATGACCACGACACTCACCACGCATGTACATTAGCTTCCCCATCACAATGACATTGGAGGTGGCAGAGACTGAGCCAGCATAGAGGAGAGTGTTTAAAAGGTAAGGGGACAATATAGCTTTGTATCCCTAACACAATAGTGTTCCTTTTATCACTCACGTGATCAAAGTTCTGTAAAGGGGAGTTATCAACAATTTGATGGCACAATAGTAACATTTTATAGTTTTAAACCTTTTTAAAGTCTTCAATATTAGGCTCAGTTACATGTTCTATCCCTTTCTTTATCTGATCTATATCTGGCATGTTGCTTCAATTTCCATTTCTTACACTGATCCATTTAACAAGAGTTCTCTGCCTACTGGGGGATTCATAGCGATACTAATGGGGCTACTTGCAGTGTAAATCACTTCAGTCTTCTAGATGGGAAACCTTTCTAATGAATCACTGCCTCCACATTCAGAAAAGTTCTGGAGAAAGTGAGTTTTTGACCAAGACGTCAAGAAGGGTGAGCAGTTACACCAGCTATTACCATTAGCCAGAACATTGCAAGCCCTCAAATTGGTTGACCATCTCTACAGGAAGTACAGCAAAAGATCAAAGGAGAATACTAGTAACACAAGTAGACAACACCAGTGGATGATAATGATGCTTGTGCTTCAGGAGGTCATTGAGGGAGTCTGTAAATTAAAGGCAAATGCTGCTATACCATGTACAGCCACATTAGTAGATCTTGCACTGTAAAGTAGATAGGAATGCATCAGAAGAAGAGCCCAGAAAATAACAGATCGAGTGTTTGCCTTTAATATTAATTAAATTAAGCCTATGCTTCTCCCAATCTTTTTTCCTGGTGAAACATGACATCCTCCTGAAGACAAGGAGCAGAATAAGTTGTGTGTATGCTTCTCCACTAGGTAAAGTGGGGCAGCTGTATTCCAAATCACAACAAAGCTCACATAGACTTGTGGTTTCTAACCAAGCAAAAAGTCAAGTCTTATCCCTTAGCTCATCCATCCTGCAAGTCACTTTTGAAGGAGGTTCATCAACGATCACACTTGCAGGGTTTTTCACTTATGTGAGAATTCAAAGTAAATTTAATTTTAATGAATAATCTTTTTGGTGTTCATAGCAGTTGATGCCAATTCTGATATTGATGGGTCCTTACAGGAGTTTAAGTATTTGATCATAACAAGGATGCTTACTGGTGGGAAACGGAGCTAAATAGAAGTATAAGTAGGTATTTTCAGCCCAAGAGAAGTCAAAATTAAGCTATGCGCAGGTAATGAGAGTCCTAAGTAGAGTACAAATCTTTGAGGAATAAGATCCCAAGAACCACACGGAAAGGGCACAAGAAACCATCAAGGTAAGATGCTGGGGGGATGGAGGAGTTTTACAGAGAAAAAAGACCACCAGGAGATAATGAAGTAGTATTTTAGTAATTCTGCAACAAATTTGGTTGTATCCTCAAATGGAACATCCAAGGAAAAAACAAACAAACCTCTCAATGAAACACAAATAATGGCAATTTAGAAAATGTATTAAATAAACATTAGGGTGAATGTGGGGATGCTCAGAACAGAAAAAATAAATAAAATAAGGTTAGAAAATCCAACACTTTTAATGCTACACACGCTACTTACTCATGAAGGTTTCCATTAGCAATTGTAAATAATTTGCTAGAATTATTTTTCTCAGGCATTTTACATGAGGATTCTACCAGTGCCACATCATTCAATGTAGTTTAAAAAGACAGGAATGCTTACACACACCCTTGCTGACTCCCAGCAGTTAGAATCCAAAAATAATTTACTTTCATTGTGTGCGTTGGTTAAGAAACAGACCCACAATTTTGTTTTGGATGTTTACAGGCTAGTCGATCACAAACTGGGACATTAATAAATAGCTCCAAAGTTTGCATTATATATCCTTTATACTCCACAAAAGGCCACAGTCATCATTCAGACAGTAATACGCCAGATGTAAAAGTGAAATAACTGAAACCTATGACCAGTTTGTGAAGGCCAACCAGAGCTATGGATTTGGGGATCCGATGAGTTGTAAGGAGAAATCTGGGCTACGCTGAGTGTGGTGTGCCCCTGGAGAGTTTCCCTAAATGCGTACACTTACTAGGGCCAATGTTGTCAAGTGGGGACCAAAGTAGAAGATCTTATGGACCCTGGGTACACATGGATTGTGGAGGGGGAAACGTTACTAAAAAGTACATAAATAGGACTGGATGCCTAAAGACACATGTTTAGCAGTACGCTTGAGGACATATACCAACTCAGAAGTCATTCTAATCAAGAGAACACTGGCAACTAAGCAAAATATACTATGCCTATATTGAGAAGAAACCAAATTCACTCCAAACAAACCAACCATTAAATAGAACAAACACCATTTAACACAAAGGTGTTCAGTTGCTGCAGTGTATTAAGATAGATAATAGTACTATGGGAAGAATTTTTCTACTAAAGATTACTAAATGACATGTTTTGCCTTAGATAAGACACACGGTTTATTCTCACGCTGTTTGCTCACATATAGACTTGAATATCCTTTATTTGTAAATGTGCATAGGAGCCATAGCTTTTTGAGTAATTTGCCAACCCAGGACTCAAGACACAACAACAATGCAAGATTTATTTATTTCTCAATTCTTTTCAAATATGGATACTGTCTGAGACAGTTGTTTTGCCATGAGAATTGGGTGGGAATAGCTGGTCTACTCAATAAAAATGAATTACCGTAGTCTCTTGCTAGTAAACTACGCTCAGGTACCTTATATGACTGGATAGGGCTATGGTCACTTTCCCTGCATGGCTAACTAGATGGCTGAGGTCCCTGGGACCTACTAAAAGAATTACAGAGGTAAGGTCCATTCCTGGCAAGTTAGGTGGTGGTGGTCAGATCCCTACATAGCTGGCTAGGTAAGGTTCCTGCATGGCTTGCTAGGTGGTGGAAGTCAGGTCAATCCATGGCTGGCTAGAGGTTGGAGATCGGTCATTCCATGGCTGGCTAGGTGGTAGAGGTCAGGTTCTTCCATGGCTGACTATGTGGTGGAGGTCAGGTCCACCATGGCTGGCTAGGTGGTGGAGGTCAGGTCCCTCTATGGCTGGCTAGGTGGAGGTAGTCCGGTATCTCCATGGCTGGTTAGGTCGAGGTAGTCAGGTCCCTCCATGGTAGGCTAGGTGGTGGAGGTCAGTTCCCTGCATGGCTGGCTATGAGGTGGAGGTTAGGTGGAAGAGGTAAGGTCTCTCTATGGCTGGCTAGGTGCTGGTAGAGGTCAGGTACCTGCATGGCTGGCTAGGTGGTGGAGGTCAGGTCTCTGCATGCCTGGCGATGTAATGGATGTCAGGTCTCTGCATGGTTGGCTAGGTAGTCGAGGTTGGGTCCCTGCATGGCTGGCTAGGTGGGGGGAGAACAGGTCTCTGCATGGTTAGCTAGTTAGTGGGGGTCAGGTCTCTGCATTGCTGGCTAGTTAGTGGTAGAGATCAGGTCCCTGCATGGCTGGCTAGGTATTGGAGGTCAGGCCCCTGCATGGCTAGTTAGGTGGCGGTAGAGGTCAGGCCCCTGCATGGCTGGCTAGGTGGTGTTAGAGGTCAGGCCCCTGCATGGCTGGCTAGGTGGTGGAGGTCAGGCCCCTGCTTGGCTGGCAGGTCTCTGCATGGTTGGCTAGGTAGTCGAGGTTGGGTCCCTGCATGGCTGGCTAGGTGGGGAGGTGGGGGGGGGAGAGACAGATCTCTGCATGGTTGGCTAGGTAGTGGGGGTCAGGTCTCTGCATTGCTGGCTAGTTAGTGGTAGAGATCAGGTCCCTGCATGGCTGGCTAGGTATTGGAGGTCAGGTCCCTGCATGGCTAGTTCTAGTTAGGTGGCAGTAGAGGTCAGGCCCCTGCATGGCTGGCTAGGTGGTGTTAGAGGTCAGGCCCCTGCATGGCTGGCTAGGTGATGGTAGAGGTCAGGCCCCTGCATGGCTGGCTAGGTGGTGGAGGTCAGGTCTCTGCATGGCTGGCTAGGTGGTGGAGGTCAGGTCTTTGCATGGCTGGCTGGGTGGTGGAGGTCAGGTCCCTGCATGGTTGGTTAGGTGGTGGAGGTCAGGTCCCTGCATAGTTGACTAGGTGGTGGTCAGGTCTCTGCATAGCTGGCTATGTAGTGGAGGTCAGGTCTCTGCATGGTTGGCTAGGTAGTGGGGGTCAGGTCTCTGCATTGCTGGCTAGGTAGTGGTAGAGGTCATGTCTCTGCATGGCTGGCTAGGTGGTGGAGGTAAGGCCCCTGCATGGCTACATTGGTGGTGGAGGTCAGGTCCCTGCATGGTTGGCTAGGTGGTGGAGGTCAGGTCTTTGCATGGCTGTCTAGGTGGTGGAGGTCAGGTCTCTGCATGGCTGGCTAGGTGGTGGAGGTCAGGTCTCTGCATGGCTGGCTAGGTGGTGGAGGTCAGGTCTTTGCATGGCTGGCTAGGTGGTGGAGGTCAGGTCTTTGCATGGCTGGCTAGGTGGTGGAGGTCAGGTCTTTGCATGGTTGGCTAGGTGGTGGAGGTCAGGTCTTTGCATGGTTGGCTAGGTGGTGGAGGTCAGGTCTTTGCATGGCTGGCTAGGTGGTGGAGGTCAGGTCTTTGCATGGCTGGCTAGGTGGTGGAGGTCAGGTCTTTGCATGGTTGGCTAGGTGGTGGAGGTCAGGTTTGCATGGTTGGCTAGGTGGTGGAGGTGGCTGGGTGGTGGAGGTCCTGCATGGTTGGTTAGGTGGTGGAGGTCAGGTCCCTGCATAGTTGACTAGGTGGTGGTCAGGTCTCTGCATAGCTGGCTATGTAGTGGAGGTCAGGTCTCTGCATGGTTGGCTAGGTAGTGGGGGTCAGGTCTCTGCATTGCTGGCTAGGTAGTGGTAGAGGTTATGTCTCTGCATGGCTGGCTAGGTGGTGGAGGTAAGGCCCCTGCATGGCTACATTGGTGGTGGAGGTCAGGGCTTTGCATGGCTGGCTAGGTGGTGGAGGTCAGGGCTTTGCATGGCTGGCTGGGTGGTGGAGGTCAGGTCTTTGCATGGTTGGCTAGGTGGTGGAGGTCAGGTCTTTGCATGGTTGGTTAGGTGGTGGAGGTCAGGTCCCTGCATAGTTGACTAGGTGGTGGTCAGGTCTCTGCATAGCTGGCTATGTAGTGGAGGTCAGGTCTCTGCATGGTTGGCTAGGTAGTGGGGGTCAGGTCTCTGCATTGCTGGCTAGGTAGTGGTAGAGGTCATGTCTCTGCATGGCTGGCTAGGTGGTGGAGGTAAGGCCCCTGCATGGTTACATTGGTGGTGGAGGTCAGGGCTTTGCATGGCTGGCTAGGTGGTGGAGGTCAGGGCTTTGCATGGCTGGCTAGGTGGTGGAGGTCAGGGCTTTGCATGGCTGGCTGGGTGGTGGAGGTCAGGGCTTTGCATGGCTGGCTGGGTGGTGGAGGTCAGGGCTTTGCATGGCTGGCTGGGTGGTGGAGGTCAGGGCTTTGCATGGCTGGCTGGGTGGTGGAGGTCAGGGCTTTGCATGGCTGGCTGGGTGGTGGAGGTCAGGGCTTTGCATGGCTGGCTGGGTGGTGGAGGTCAGGGCTTTGCATGGCTGGCTAGGTGGTGGAGGTCAGGGCTTTGCATGGCTGGCTGGGTGGTGGAGGTCAGGGCTGGGTGGTGGAGGTCAGGGCTTTGCATGGCTGGCTGGGTGGTGGAGGTCAGGGCTTTGCATGGCTGGCTGGGTGGTGGAGGTCAGGGCTTTGCATGGCTGGCTGGGTGGTGGAGGTCAGGGCTTTGCATGGCTGGCTAGGTGGTGGAGGTCAGGTCTTTGCATGGCTGGCTGGGTGGTGGAGGTCAGGGCTTTGCATGGCTGGCTGGGTGGTGGAGGTCAGGGCTTTGCATGGCTGGCTGGGTGGTGGAGGTCAGGGCTTTGCATGGCTGGCTGGGTGGTGGAGGTCAGGGCTTTGCATGGCTGGCTGGGTGGTGGTGGTCAGGTCTTACTGGAAGCATGTGCAGCCATAATGAGTATCGGTATATTAGTTAATGCACTGAGAGGGCTGTCCAGTCCTGTAATAACATCCTGCCTCTATTAATTATAAATACACCGCTTTCTATAACGGTTTACACTGCTTTCTCCGCTCTCTCACCTCCCCACGGTTACTGAAGGACCTGTACTTCACCGTACCGCTCCCCCGGAAACACAGAGCCGGAACAGAACGTTCCGAGAGCGGCTGATTGGATCCCATTCTGTGTAGCTCAGTAAATTATTAACTGAGAGCCTGCTATCACACAATACATGGGGAGCTGCATTAAATGGACCTCACATGTCTAACTGTTTACTGACAGCACTCTAAACAAGCAGCATATGCTCTATGTGGAATAACTCCCCTGGAAAAAAAAAAAAATAGTTAACTTACTTGCTGAGGTTATTAAAGGTCCCTTAAGGAATATAATGTCTTCCATTCCCACCCAGAGACAAAACAAACTGTAAGCATGTGCTTCTCTTATTCTCATAGGTAATAACTGTAACAAGAAATGCAATTTGAATGCTTCAGGTAGGCACATGGTAATTATATTAAGACTGCTCATTTTCTGTTTATTATTCATATCTCTGCTCATAGCATATATTATGCCTATTATTCTACTGTATAAATCATTACAATTCTCACGTGTCTCTTTTCCCCAGATCCTCTGCTTAGCAGTGTTACATGACTTTGTCATTTCATATTTGATTTGCTTGTTAAAAGGTGAGTTTAATACAGACAAAGGTTACATATAAAGAACAATGATAAAATACAATATTACCTGTATCACCCCTCCCCCCCAATAATATATCATATTCCACATATTTGTATAATAGTGAAACAACTGCAATTACTTAAGATACATTTGACATACATGTACAAAATGTATCCAGTAGAAAGCTATATCCAATAGAAAGGAATATAAACTTCCTAAATAAGTAGGGATTTAGGAATTGCTTAAAGGACCAGAATCTAGGGGACATTATAATGGACTATGATGGCGCAAATCATAACAGGTAATCTGTAGGTGAGATATGGGGGACAAAAGACAGCTATAGGTAATTGGCATAGCAGAGAGATGAAGGTTCTGGCGTGTAGTGCATGCATATAGACTAAAACACAGTTATGGTGGGCATTAACATTTTAAATTGACTCCCAAAATATACAGTTATATACAGGAAGTCAGCATATTGGCACCTATTGCCAATATTATGACATACATGATAGCAATTAAGGATAAGATTGCATAACATTTTTATATGATCGCAATGCCAAAGCGTGATATTGGCAAGCAAGTAAATTGAATGTGGAGTGAGAGGATCTGATAATAGGGATGTGTGGTGTGTGTTCACACTCCTGGTTTTTGTTTTTTTACTGTAATTTTTCAGGTCCAGCTGTGTTTTGAGGGATAAGCTCCTGTACATACTCGCATTCCACTGACCTCAGTTTGGAGCTGATCTCCTGAACTCCAGCTGCTCCCAGCGGTGACGTGAGGGGTTCCCCAGACTCCCCCCATGTGTGACAATGTTGCAACCTAATTGTGAGGAAACCAAGTATCAAAGCATGTGTACGCAGCAGATGAGCAAGCACTTGGCACAGCACTCTGTTTTGAAGACGTGGATCTGCTTGGCACACAGAACACGTCGGGCACATCTGCCTCCATTGATAACAGCTGCGCCATGTGTTGGCACACACAGATATGTTCTGTATTATTATCCCAGCATGAGTGATTGTGTCACCTACCTGTAGCAATAGATTACTGGCTTCCGTTTGTAAACAATTTAAATACGTGAAACGTCAGCCCTGCGTGTATGTATACCATGTCTGATATATCCATTCATATTAGCCGGTGCAGTAGCTGGATAAGAATGTGATGAAGTTGGAGGTTGGCAAAGATTATGTCTGTATAGATTTCCCACCGTGTGTAAGCAAGCGGGAAATTTGTTATGATATCGAAATTGGCTGCATGTGTGATACGGAAACAGTGTAATTCTGATCTGATGAGTGCAATGCAGGAATATTAGACATGGATGAGATTTAACAACAACAAAAAATTAGATGTAACGCAGGAAGAATGGAGAGGAACACAGTACAAGAACACTGATGCTGAATGTAACAGAGCAATCTGTCATCTGCGAACCAATGATTTTTTCCCCAGAACTCTCTAAAGGTATCCTAAGACTGGTAGACATTGTGACAGTCTCAATGTGTTCCTTTTGATCATCCAACACAAAGTGGGAGCAGAGGAAATATTATCTTCATTAGAATAGTAGGTGTTGTAGTAGATTTAAACCATCAGCCTATTTGCTCATTTACTGATGATCGAGCACTGGGTTTCAATCCCTATCTTACACAGTATGGGAACCATTGCTGTGCAAGAAAAGGACGCTGATCACCATAAAAGAGCAAAGATGCAGGGCACAATACTGGCATGTTGATGCAGGAGTGTGACAGTGACCACATGTTGCTGTAGTATGAAGCAGACAGTGATCACATGTGGTTCTCCGTGACATTGACCACATGTTGCTGTATTATGAAGCAGACAGTGATCACATGTTGTTTGTGTGTGTGTTCTTATAATTAATTCTAAAATTGGATTTGCTAGTCCATTGAGTTAAGAAAATTCCCTAATTAGTAAAACCTTTTTGTATTCATAATAATATAATTAGTATACTATTTCAAACAATTCCTTCCCAGAGAAGAAGAATAACTACTGTAGGAATATGATATCTGGCTACAGATTTATCCAGAAAAACAGAGCCGGTCCGGCTTCTATGCACTAATACACAATAATGAAAAACAAGGACAAAAAGGGAGAGGTTTAAAAGAATAATAAAAGTTTATTGCAGAAAGGAGAAAACTGTGTCTGAGAGCCAGGTCTACAATTTCTTCTTAAATGTGTGATGGTCCTTCGTTATTCTAATGTCTAAGGGCAGGGTATGCCAGGGCTGTGCATCATAAATAGAAGAGGATCGACCTTTAATCGATTGACCCAGACACATGCTGATGCTGACCTAAGTTGATCAGAGGGAAAAATAAATACAAACATATCATTGTTGTAGATCTTGATGGGAGGTTAGGTTGATATGCTTTGTTTAGTTGGGAGCCAGTGTAATTGCTTGATATTTGATCAATCATACTTCTATTTGGTTGGGTCTAGGTGTCCAGTCGTAGACAAGGTACCAAGAATGTTCTCAGCTTGAAAATTACCTTACATTCTCCTATTAGTAACAGAAACATTTTTATTCAGGTGTACATATAGCATCCTTTCTAATAAGTCAAACCTTTTTTTTTTAAATCCAGATTTTGCCCACCAAAGGTACTGACTTTGTCCTTTTTAATGGAGCATGTTGCCCAATCTAACTGAGCACAGCACAAATTTTAGATTAAAAAAAAGCTAAACAGAAAAAAAGATAATTTGTGGAATTTTTCCAATTTGACTATTTTGTCAGAGAATTTGCATTCACTTGTCCATTTTCTACCAATTTACATTTTACTGAATAAACACAACTGTGCACTCCAGTAGCCACGACCTGTACAGAGAAAGCAGACGTTCAGTGTGCAACTAGTAATTCTAGGTGGGACAGGACTTGGTCAAGTGTTTATTCCGTGTAAACAGTAAATTAACTAATAAGTTGCAAAATTCTGACTAACATAGGCGAGTCAAAAATCCAAATACATTCTACCCTGAAAATATATTCCAACTGTTTTAGTCTAAATTTTGCAAGGTCACTACAACTTGCCATGTAGTAAACACACCAGGAGGTACTTAAAATAATACTCCTGCCTGGGACTCACCGACACATGGTCAACTGGGTACAATTGTCCTGCCAGGTGGTGCATTTTGTGAGCTACACCTTAGTAAATGATTACATTATCAGTTTTCTGTGAGAGAGGGGGGTAACAGATCGTGCTGACCTCCCCCAGTATTCAGACATTGCTGTTTGAGTCTCCAGATAATTGCTCACCCTCCAGTTTTCACTGACAAGGTGTCTCAAACTCTGCACTGGGTGTTAATCCCTAATTGGCATTTTCTCGCTCTAGCAGATTCTTTATTGGAGTCCCAGAGGACTTTATTCCTGCAAACTTCACGTACGTGCCTGCTGGGTTAACCTGCTCTGTACTTTAAGGATTGCCAAACTCTGTACACAAAGCTTTTTGGTTTGAGAAGTTACATTAGTAGATAATACAATCTCTTGACTACAGGCCAGTGTCTGGAACAACATACATTAGCCACAGACAAAGTTTGCAGCCTGCTATCTATTCTTGCCAGTCATGTTGTTTTTTAAAAGAGATGAATTTCTGCATGGTATGGGTCATGGAGATACATAACATGATAGGCTTTGTCAATATGCTAGGAAGTATGTTTCAGATGCAAGAAACAGAAAGTCAGTCCATCTCTTTCGGGCTATGTTTACATAATGCTCTGTTTGTCAAAAAGTGGCAGCCTGGTTGGGCTTCATGGACATTAAGCCCACCACCACTTGAAATGTCCATGGCAGTGATCCACCAGCTATTGTTTTGTTAGGATACGATCGAAAGTGAAATGCACAGAAATGAGCAGTAAATGAATGTACTAGGTCCTTAGCAAATCTAGGTAAAGGGATAACGTTATCAATTAGTAACATATACAGGAGGAACTAAGATTGCCAAGCTGTGTCAAGATGGTCTATAGATTTCTGTTCTCCAGGAAGCAGATTTTTAAGTCCTGCTTTGCCTGGTATCTTAAGCAAACCGATCCCTCCTCTGAGAACTGGCGACACGAGTCTTGCCAAGTGTCTGGAACCAGCACTTACATGTGGCAAGTGGAGTTTTGTTGAAGATAACACATTAGCTGTGATATGATGTTTGGCATTTTGAAAGAGAGGAAATGCATGTCCTTCAGCAAGACAAATTTGTCCCTTTAACTAATGCTAGATTCCATTCTAATCTTCTTTCAGAAAACGGTTCAGTTCCATGCCTATTAGAGTTTTACATTCAAAAGGGATTATGGGCCTAGTAGTGGTACTGCATCCCATGGGACTATCCAAGGTAGATCATCTTTAAAGTATTAACTCTTAAATAACCCATCACGCATGGTCTATGTCCCCACTCACAAGCGTCCCCAATGCTAGTGCTGATGTAAATGCGAAGTTGTCAGTATTTATGGTTATTCCAAATTCATAGGGTTATTAGCAAAAGT